CCCTTCTTTAAGCTTCAGACTCAACATTTCCAGTTGCCTTTTTGACTTTTCCATGTGGATGTCTCATAGATACCTTAAACTTGACATCTGCAAATATAGAACCACTGATTTTTGTAGCAGATGCTATTGGCTCCCTATTTAACTTCATTTTCTCCTTCTTCATTATTGGCCGAGTCATAATTTTGTTAGGTTTTCTATATGCCTACCCACCATGTGGATTGGGGAAGAGTAGCTGAGATTACAGACGCCCACCACCATGCCCTGCTAATTTTTGTATTTTTAGTAGAGACAGGGTTTCACCATGTTGGCCAGGCTGGTCTGGAACTCCTGACCTCGTGATCCACCCGTCTCAGCCTCCTAAAGAACTAGGATTACAGGCATGAGCCACTGCGCCCAGCGCTTTTCATTAAATTTTGAATTAGAAGCTCAAAAGAAAACCTATTCTATTAGGAAAAAAGAAAAAGTCTTATTAAGATTATGCCTAACCTCAATTTTAGAATAAGGATAATTTTTTAAAATATGTAGATAAAGTCTCACTGTGTTGTCCAGGCTGGAGTGCAGTGGCTTGATCATAGTCTATTGCAACCTTGAATTCAAGAATAACTTTTGACTTTTTCTCACATGTGCATTAATCTAAAATAAGTTTAAATAAAATAAATAAATCATAAGTTCACATAAAACCACTCTCATGGTGTATGTAGTACATATTCTAGATAATTATTTGTAGTTGATTAATCCATGATACTGATATTGACACTTAAAATTCAATAGCTAATTGACATGTTACTATATTATATATAATGTAAAACTCTAGAGTGAAAATATAACATATACAGCAAATTTTAGAAAGATTTCAACTACAATTTGTGATGCTACCAATTATTACATGAAAATTTTAAAGCTATATGCAACACTGACTATAAATATTTATCCATTAATATTTATTAAATGTACATTATGTGCCAAGCACTGTGCTGAGGTTACAGATACAAAGATGAATATCCTCTGCTCACAAGCATGAAAAGAAATAACTATAATGAAATGTAGTAAGTGCTATAACTATAACAAGTTATAAGCACTTGTTATTACTACAGCATTTAAGTAGACTGCAGAAACCCATTCATTTACTTTGTGCATACAAGTTATTCTTATAAGGTCGGGCACGGTGGCTTATGCCTATAATCCCAGCACTTTGGGAGGCCAAGCCAGGAGGATCACTTGAGCCCAGGAGTTCAAGACCAGCCTGAGCAACACAAGGAGACCCCTGTTTCTACAAACAAACAAAACAGCTGGGCATGATGGCTCACACCTATAATCCCAGCACTTTGGGAGGCCAAGCCAGGAGGATCACTTGAGCCCAGGAGTTCAAGACCAGCCTGAGCAACACAAGGAGACCCCTGTTTCTACAAACAAACAAAACAGCTGGGCATGGTGGCGTGCGCCTTTGGTCCCAGCCCAGGAGGTTGAGGTTGCAGTTAGTGGTGATTGTGCTACTGCACTCCAGCTTTGGTGATGAGTGAGACCTTGTCTAAAATACCAATACTAATACTAGCACAACAGCTCACACTTTTTGAATGCTTACTGTCAGCCAAGCACAGTGCTATGCACTTTATGCACCTTATCTGTCATATTTATATCTTAGAGATAGGTAAGATAGGTAAGGAGGTTGGGTGGCCCTTCTCCAAAATGCTTGGGACCCGAAGTGTTTCAGATTTCAGGGATTTTTTTGGATTTTGAAATATTTGTACATTCACAATGGGATATGTTGGGTTACAGACCCAAATCTAAACACAAAATTCACTTATGTTTCCTATGCACCTTATGCACATAGCCTGATGGTAATTTTACACAATATTTTTAATAACTTTGTATGTGAAACAACATTTTGATGGCAGTCTGTCATATGAAGTCCAGTGTAGAATTTTCCACTTGTAGCATCATGTTGGTGCTCAGAAGTTTCAGATTTGGGAACATTTAGGATTGCAGATTTTTGGATTAGGAATGACCATACTGTATCATTATTATTCCCATTTTATCAATGTGGATTTTGAGGCATAGAGATGTCAAATGCCTTATCCAATGTCCTGAGCTAGTAAATGGCAGAGTAAGATTTGCACCAAGCCATTTACTCTTAAGTACTATGCTGCATGCCATCTACTGTGCTAGCCATTGAGGCTTTAAAAGCATATATGACAAAGTCCCTGTCCTCAAAAAGTTCACAGTCTATTAAGAGAGAGAACGTGTACACAGATAATTGCAAGGGCCTGTGATAAATACTACAATAAAGATATGTACGGTAGAGTGATTGCACCAAGCAGGCAATGATTAGTTCTACTTAGATGGGAGCGGAAAGTTGATGAAATTTCAAAGAGGAGACCTGTGAACTGGAATTTAAAAAATGAGAAAGCGTTTTTAGATAGGCCTAGTGACAGTAAAGAGTATCCAGGTAGAGGAAGCAGCATGGACAAAGAAAGGCAAAGGGAACTGCTGGTGGTGGTAGAGTCAGGATATGCCAGGCAAGTGGAGGAAGACGTACAGAGTTCTAAACTTGTTTTTTTGAGACAAGGCCTCACTCTGTCACCTAGGCTGGAGTGCAGTAGGGCAATCATAGCTCACTGCAGTCTCAAACTCCTAGGCTCAAGTGATCCTTCTGCCTCAGCCTCCAAAGCAACTGGGACTATAGATGTATGCCACCATTACTGGCTCATATATAGTTTCTAACTACTGATAGAAACAGTTAGGTTTCTTTAAATGTTCGCATGTACCATGACATGAAAATGATATCCCCAAAGTGAAAATAATGGTTAAGTCCTTAAAATTTTTAAGTTTTTATTTTAAGTTGTTACTTTTTTTTTTTTTTTTTTTTTTTTTTTTTTTTTTTTTTTTTTTTTTTTTTTTTTTTTTTTTTGGCCGTCTCAGTCTGTCACCCAGGCTGGAGTGCAGTGGTGTGATCTCGGCTCACTGCAACCTCCGCCTCCTGGGTTCAGGCAATTCTCCTGCCTCGACCTCCTGAGTAGCTGGGATTACAGGCACGCACCACCATGCCCAGCTAATTTTTTGTATTTTTAGTAGAGACGGGGTTTCACCATGTTGACCAGGATGGTCTCGATCTCTTGACCTCGTGATCCACCCGCCTCGGCCTCCCAAAGTGCTGGGATTACAGGCTTGAGCCACCGCGCCCGGCCTGGTTCAAGCGCTTCTTATGCCTCAGCCTCTTGAGCAGCTGGGATTATACAGGCACGCACCACCACACCTGGCTAATTTTTGTATTTTTTGTAGAGACAGAGTTTCTCTATGTTGGCCAGGCTGGTCTCAAATTCCCGACCTCAAGAGATCCATTCACCTTGGCCTCCCAAAGTTTTGGGATTACAGGTATGAGCCATGACACCTGGCCGAAAACCCTTTTATAAGGACATCAAATCCTATTCTCCCCTCATGACCCAATCGTCTCCTAAAGGTCACATCTCATAATACGGTTTCTTTGGAGATTAAGTTTCGACATGAATTGTGGAGAGGACAAAAACATTCAAACCACAGCATTGATCATCGGGGAAATTGCATCGAGTTAGAAGGGCATCCAGAGGTGATTACATTCAACTCATTAGCCTCTCTGAATCTAGTTTTCTAATATGCAAAAAGTGCATAGTAATAGCATTGTTGTGGAGACTAAGTTGAAATGATGTATGTAAAACACTTAGCTCATTGTCTGGCACATAGTAAATTATCATAAATATTAGTATTATTAGAGTATAGCTGTTATGGTTAGTAAATATCAAATTGAAAGGTCATGGCCCATCCATTCATTCATTTGAATTTGTTTGGCATTTATATGCCAGGCATTGTGCTAGAATCTGGTTCGCAAAAGTGAACAAAATTCATCTCTGTTTTCACGAAACTTGTGTCCTAGGATACAGTTAATAAATATACCAGATGAGATGGTGATTGCACTACAGAGAATAGAACAAGGTGGGGTCAAAGTAGGGGATGTGCATGGGTATTACTATGGGGTAGTCAGGAATGTTCTCTCTGATATGGTGACATCTGGGCAAAGGCCTGGAGAAAGGGAGGGAGTAAAAAGAATTCCAGACAGATTTTTACTGGGAAACATGGTTAAAAATTTGAGGGCAGGGACCACTTCTTTCACATTTTGGTAACATGCAAAAACTATGTAGGCCTGAAACATATTACATTAGTATGGAATGACTGACTATTTAACAGAACATACTAAAACGTATTGTTAGGTACTTAAAATAGATGTGATTATCAATATAATTAGATCTACAGTTTTTTTCCCCTACTATTTCACTTTAAAAATTAAGCTACATTCTTTTTTTTTGACAGAGTTTTGCTCCATTGCCCAAGTTGGAGTACAGTTGGTGCAATCTCCGGTCACTGGTTCCTTGACTTCACAGGCTCACTCCATCCTTTTACCTCAGCCTCCCAATAGCTGGGATTACAGCTGCATACCACCATGCCCAGCTAATTTTTGTATTTTTTAGTAGACAAGGCTGGGGGGGGCGTCTCACCATGTTGCCCAGGCTGGTATTGAACTCCCGACCTCAAGCGATCCTCCTACCTCAGCACCTCAAATTGTTGGGATTACAGGCATGAGCCAGTGAACCCTCACAACCAGCCAACATTTATTTTTTGAATGAATAACACATTCACATGAAGCAAACATCAAAAAGTATAAAAAGCTACTCAGTGTCTCCCTCTCTCCCGTTCCCATCCACACACTTCCCATTGCTCCCCACAGGTAACACTCGTTTTTCTTTCATCTTTCCAAAGACTTAAAAAAAGAACCCGAATATATAAGCCAATGCACGTTGTAGTGTTGTTCCTTGTATGAGAAAAAAACATCAAATATCCAGGTATCTTTTCAGAGCTTGTATTAAAAAGAAAATAAAATCAATCATATTTTGCCCCAGGTGCTCATGATTCCCCCCACCTATCTCAGGCTAATGACCTTCACCCGGAAGTGCCCGGGGGGCGGGAAAAGGTGAACCGGAAGGGCCAAAAGAAGCCAGAGCCGCGCTTCACTGAGGCAACCCGGAGCAGTCATAGCGTGTAGTTGGGCTGTTTAGGAAGCAGCCCTAATCTTTTCATCCAGGGTGCACTTATGGGCTTGCCCTGTGCTCCCCTGCCTAACCTACCCTTCCTTGCTCTGGTTGTCAAGGGGCTGCTTTGGCTCGGACTGCTGGGCTGTGTCTAGAATCTTCCAAGCTCCCGACCCAGGAGAAGCAGCCACCCTCAGGCCTCCTTCTGGACCTCCGCTTGGGCAGGATTGAGGCTGCGGGTGAGTCATGAGGGGCTCGCCTGTTCATTGTGGAGAAGCGCCTTCTGTACCTGTGCCTTGTGTGGTGGGGGTTTTTGTTTTAAACCTCGTGTTTGCCTTATGAATGCAATGCAGCCATGTTGGTTGTTTTTGTGAAAATTTTCGAACAACTCTGACCACTCAGAGTTGGCAACATTTGGAACTGTCATTGGTGAATCTCGACTTTTCGTTGGTGGACGTTACTTTCGGAATATTTTAAGTGTAGTGGGAAAGTTCTAGTGCAATTGTGGAAGCGTGTAAATTCCCAAGGAAAGTTCTCTATTTTTTCTTTATTCTGTTGATAATTTCGTTTTTCCCAAAGTGCCTTGCACGAGCAAATTTAAATGGAATTTCACTGGGAATGAAATGACTACCCTGCTAATCCTAATAATGCCGAATTATAGATATAAATTATTTGGTTGGGGCAGTGGCTCACGCCTGTAATCCCAGCACTTTGGGAGGCCGAGGCTGGCAGATCACCTGAGGTCAGGAGCTCGAGACCAGCCTGGTCAACATGGCGAAACCCCGTCTTTACTAAAAATACAAAAATTAGCCGGGTGTGGTGGTGTGCGCCTGCAATCCCAGCTACTCGCGATGCTGAGGCAGGAGAATCGCTTGAATCTGGGTGGCCGAGGTTGCAGTGAGCTGAGATCGCGCCACTGCACTCCAGCCTGGGCGACAGCGAGACTCTGTCTCAAAAAATAAAATAAAAATAAATTATTCATGTCATTGCTGTAATCTTCCACTTCACTTTGCTTTTGAAAATAAGTGACAACTTTTAAGGCATTTATGGGAAACTTTACGATCGCTGCACTCCTTTAGAAAGAAAATGTGAAGATTCCACAGTCTTCTGCTTACATTAATTGAGATCCTTGAATTAATGATTATTGGTTATTTTGCTTTAGTTGTGATAAATTCCTATGGCTCTCTTTGTTTTATACCTTGAAGCAAAAACCTGTACTGAAATACCGCAACCTGAGAATCAGCAAATATGCTGTGGGTGGTTTCCTCTTTAGTCCTTCACTGGCGTCTTCTCTCAGCCATTTCTTGGGCCAGTTTGAGTCTTTACAACTCTCTCTGGTTTCAGGGTTGCCTTGGGGTAGTTGTTAAGTTTTGGAAGTTTAGATGCCCCACTTTCATGATTTATAAGGCGAGTTAATGCAGCTTGAGAAAACGTTTTTATTTCTATGTGGCTTCTTCATACCGTAGTGTCAGTAAGGAAGCGAATGATGGATTTTTAGAATTCCGAGTATCCACTAGGCGGCAGCATGTTTTTAGTTTCTTTCGCTCTGACCGTGTATCCGGTAATAACTCTACTGGTGCGGTGATAGTGTTATTCTAATAGTAACAGATGTCATTTGTGGAATGCTTATTACACGACAGGGACTGAACATTATCTCATTTAATCGTAAAAAACAAACCCCAAACCCTGTGTAGGTATTCCTAGTATTCTCTTTATACTTCGTGAGAAAACCTTGGGAAAGAGATTAAATAACAATGCGAAGCTGATTACACAATCCACAAGTGGTGGAGCTAGAATCGAAACCCAGATGGGTAATTACTATTTCATGCTAACAAAACTAAAGTTATTGCAAGTTTGACCAAATTGTGAAAGATGCTGTAGTTAAGATGAGAAGTCTAATTGTGAGTTTTCTGAAGAAGTGAGAATTGGGTACTGTTATTTATATAGTGTACTTGCTACACATAGTGTACCTAATTAGAGGTACACCGTTTCCAAAAGGCAGTATTTCCTAAACTGTGTTCCAGGGAGCACTAGTCCTGTGAGATGCTTCAATAAAAAAAGGTTTTTATGGACAGAAATACTCTTGAATTCATTAAGGGCTCTAAAATGTCCTGCAGTAAAGGTACTTGTTTAACCTAACTTTTTTTGAACTCACAGCATTCTTAAAGTTTTCTGATTACAGCGGACATTAAGAAGTACATTTTACATGCAGTACCATACCTGAAATATTATTAAATACACATGAGGCAATACTTACCTTAACCATAAGCAGTGTACACTTATATTTTCTGTTTTATTTTGACTAGTCTAGACTTTCTTTTAAAAAAAGTTCTGGTCAAGACCCATTACATTGATTTTTTGACTCATGAATGAATCGCAATCTACAATTTTACCGCACTAGACTGTGAGGTCCTATGTTTTTGTGCTGTGCTTATTAATGGACCACACTTTGGGAAATTGTGTTAGGGCTATAGTTGAAAGAAGTCATTGATGCAATGGTAAATTTCTTTGTTGATGGATTATGTTCTTTTATCAGTCCTGGTAACAGCTGAATGAGAACGGTGGTGGGGATGTGTGTGTGTGTGTGTGTGTGTGTGTGTTTGTTGGGATATAGGATCTGGCTCTGTTGCCCAGGGTGGAGTGCACTAGCATGATCTTGGCTCACTGCAGCTTCAACCTCCTGGGCTCAAGTAATACTCCTACTTCACTTTTCTGAAGAGCTAGGACTACAGGAGCACACCATCACAACTGGATAATTTTTGTTTTTGTTTTTTGGTAGAAATGGGATTTCACTATGTTGCTCAGGCTGGTCTTGAGCTCCTGAGTTCAAGCAATTGCACGGCCTCAGCCTCCCAAAGTGCTGGGATTGCAGGCATGAGCCACCACACCTGGCTGAGAACAGTGTTTTTTTTAAATTGGGAAGTTATTTGTTACAATCAGTTTAGGCCACTAGTGAAGGAAGAACTAGTGAATTTAGAACAATTTTGTAGATTAGCATTTTCTAAAGTATGTTCTTGGCATACATGTTCCCCAGAATATTAGCTTGCCGTATGAATTATTAAAAAAAGGTGTTTCATGGTCAAGGTAAACTTGGGAAATACAGATTAAAGTTAAACAGGTTCTAACAAAGCTAATGGGACTGCTTATCTCTGAAATGGGGAGTTAGTGTCTGGCATTTCCCAGATTTATTTGACTGTGGGACTTGTTTTTAGAAATGTATCTAGTGGGCCTTGTGCCCCTTAGAACACACTTTGGGAAATCATGTAGATAATTAAGGTAGAAATGTTTTTGTTGTAATGTACATTTAGGTGAAAATTTTTATTGTAAATTTTTTATGTTATTTTCCTAATTCATTTCCTAATGTTGACATGGCAGAGAAACACATCAGGAAGTCATTCAGCTTTCTTAATTTCCTGATGACCTATGGCAATTTTCTGTTAGTAATAAGAAAAACCTTTATGAGGTTTTCTAGTGCTGATTAATTTCACATAAAACTAAAACTTATTTTCAGTTAAGTTCAATGAGCAGTACATTTTTAGCTGTGTTGAAATCAACTTTTTTAAAGCTATTTTGGCAATTCTTGTTTCATATTTGAAAAAGTTTGGAGTTTAGTTAAAAGTTATGTGTTTTATAAAATTCTTAAAGGATTTTCCTACATCTTATTTGTAAGGTGGCCCAAATTAGTGTTTATGTACTTGATCCAAAGGTCTCTAGTATGTTGCCTTAGATTGGCTGAATTTATAGTATATTTAGTAGCTTATTTCATGTTATGGTTTCATAATGATCTTTATGGAGAGAATATCCAATTCTCTCAATCTCTTCATACATATCAATACAGCTCATGTTTTGTTTAAGTATTTCTAAATTTCTAAAATTTATATAATCTTCCCTCTGTTTCTTAAAACAAGGAGAAATTTGGTAAAGATTTTAATGTGAATAGAGAATGTTTTACTCATAATAGTGTAAATATTTTAAGAAACTAAAAGTGGCTTTTGTAATTTTATATAGTTTATGGCAATTTAATAAAATGTTTATCAAGTATTCACTATGACCTCAAGGTTTTTTTTTCCCCACTTGGAGGTTAATAAGTCTTCTTCAAACATGAAATAGTTAATGAAAAAATAACATTATTTATGGGCAGCATTATAAATGGATAAAATAAAGTGCAAAATCATGTCAAATAGACAATAACAGAATGGGGCAATATACGCAATAAAGTGCTAATCATATGATCTGACAATAAGTATAGTTCAGAAAAGGAGAAATTGGTGTGAGTGGGATTTGTAAGAAAAGCTTCACAGAGGAGATGGAATTTGATCTGATTTTAAAATATGTTTAAACAGATAATATAGGGCAAGGCATTTGGTATAATAGAGCAGAATGTGTGATGGTATTAGTTCAGCCTCCTTAACATGACATAAAAGACCCCCAAAGACTGGCCTGTTTCTCAAGCCTCATCTCGTCTTCTCTCAGGCTTACCTGTTAGACTTTAGTCTCCCTACACTACTTTTAGTTCCTCATTTAAAATAATGTTTCTTCCATCTGTGACTTTACTTATGCTGTTTTTCCCTTTAAAATATAAGTATCAAGAAAATTGATTGAAATTTATTATTTATTCTAAATCCTAAATTATTTCATTCTTTCAAAGAAAAAGCACTGGCAAATTACTATAAGGAATCAGTGCCTACAGAGCGAAATCATTGAATACAAAGGAACATAGGTATGGTTTTTATTTGCTCATTTCAATTATTACCTTCTTTTGTTATTGAAACTGCTTATTCATAATAAATTATTTTTCTCAATCTAAAAAAAAAAAATACCCTTATCTAATTTTTCACTTTCTTAATGTCTTATCTTTTAAGTCTCAGCCCAGAAGTCACCTTCCTCAGGCAGACTGACCTTCCCAAGCCACCCCGGATTTTCTCATGCTCGATTTCCATCTTCACACATGATCACATTATATTATAATTATTTTTGTATATCTGTA